TGCTTTGTAGTGCCTGGGTGGAGAGCAGAGCTGTAGGATCAGAGTTTTACTCTCGGTCTTTCGAGAGGGTCTGAGGCAGCTTGTGGCTTAGGGCATCACAAACCCGGATCCTTGAAGGGTGAACAGGGCCAATAGAAAGCACGGCTGTGCAACCCTGGCTGCACAAGAGAACCTTCGGGAGAGACTTAAGAAATTTGGGTTCTTGGGCCCCACCCCAAAGGAGCTGGAGTCCCTGAGGGTGGGGACGACAGGTATGGTGGCCTCCAGAGACTCTGAGATGATCTGAAGGAAGCAGGTGGAAGAGCTGGCACTGGGTGCCGACACAAGCAGGTTAGTGGTTCTAGAAGGGGTTGTACCTTCCTGTCACCGGGGAAGCTCTTAAAACTTGAGATGCTCAGTCTGCAAGCCAGCCTGCCTGACCCAGAATCGCAGGGTGCAGTACACACATGATTCTGCTCTGTGCCCAGGCCCGAGACTCCTCGCTGTGTTCTAGACCCTGTGTCCGGCGCTCACTCACCCCAAGTGCTGGGCATATAGTTCTGAACTAAACAGACAAGGCCCTTGCTGTCACGAAATTTGTATTCAAATAAATATAATACACCTGTTCCTCCCTCATGGGCTATCTCACGATCTGACATTTCACACTTATAATAGTTTGCCTACTAACGGTGTCTGTCTGTCAGTAACAAACTCTGAGTAAAGCTGGCAATGAGAGTTATGTGTCATCCTGGCTCACACATGATTTGAAGTTATGTAATGTACTTTGGCAATTATATAACAATATCGTCTGGCAGTTTCGTGATGATGCATTTTGGCAGACATGTGATGGTGTAAGTAAGTATCTTCCATTTTGTTGGCCGAGGTGGTCAGTCTCCATTTTCACATCACAATTTGTCTCTTGAACCTAACCATGCCAATAAGCGAAGAGTGGGTGCATGTACTCTGTCAGAGGGTGTGGGCAGGACATGTCTGTTCGGTTAGCTCCTGAATGGCCAGTAAATAATCACTGGCACTTCATAAATAACTGAAGTGGGATGAAGAAAGATGGAGCAGGCTCAGGGGGATAGAGTGTTGGAAGTCACAAAAACCAAACTCACTGCCGTTGAGTCCTATCTGACTCATAGTGAGTTTCCAAGACTATAATTCTTTGCGGGAGTAGAAAGCCACCTCTCCCTCCCATGGAATGGCTGGTGGTTACAGACTGCTGACACTGAGGATCTCAACCCAATGCTTGGCCACGACACCACCGGGGCTCCAGCATGAATATGCTTCTATACTACACGGAGGGGTCAGGGGAGGCCTCACTGAGGTGACCTTTGAACAAAGTCTGGGAAAAAAGAGAAGGAGTAAGCCTTACAGATATCTGAGGGGAGAGGATTCTTGACAGAAGAAGAGAAAGTGCAAAGGCCCCCAGGTGGGAGTGTGCTTGACGTTAGGAGAGGAGCGAGGAGTCAGGCTTGACTGGAGAGGAGTGATGGAACTGTGGGTAGAGGAAGCAGGCAGCTTATGTAGGGCTCTTCTAGACCACGGTCAGTGCTTCGGGGAAACATGAGGGCTTCTCTTTCTGGTTCAGTCCCTGAGAGCATGTGTATTGGAGATGCAGAGGATAAGCTTTGTCTGGAACTTGATGCAAGCATGTCTGTAATAAGAGAGGAACCAAGGGGAGGGGAATTTCCTGAGATCGCATCGAGGGGCTACCAGATCTCTTCCAGCCTGTGAAGGGTCAGAAGCAGCAGTCCCCCTGCCTCTTTGAAGCATCTGCTCCTTCTCTGCCTCCACCAAGACCCTCACCTGGGCCTACCTGTCTTACCACCTTCTGGCTTTTCCCCAGAAGTTACTAGAACATAGCTGGTTGTGAAAGTGTGCTCAGGTTTGGGGAGGTTGGGGAAGAGGGAGGCAGGGGCTTCCCCTATGTGCTGAAACCAGCACAATGGTTTACCCAAAGGTAGGATTCTGCTGGGAGTGGTGGGGCGTGGGGAGTGCTGATCTCAGCAGGAGACATTTCTGTGAGGGAAGTTGTGCATGAGTCTGATGGCCCTCCCAAACACTCGCCACAGGCAGCTCCCTACTTTATCTGGGACGCTACCAGATCACAACAAGGAAGGTACTGGTAAAACACACTTACCTTAACACTTCTTGGATTTTCTGGATCGAAAACCAGGATGTTCTCTGTGGTCAAAAGCAAACAAAAAAATATAACCCAAACAGTTACTTGGGAAACAGGTTCACAGATGGACACAAATATTATCTTTCCAATCTTATCAAAGAATCCTAGGCATTGGGCCAGTGGAACAGTCTCATTGTTCAGTGGACAGATGCTAAGAATGAAATGAGCTCCCTCTCAGGCCGCTGGGCTCTTTACTCAGAAAACTGGGCAGGTTCTGCCACTAATGGAAATGGAGAGGGTGGGTGGTGCACCTACTATGTGCAGAAGTGATCAGACAAAAATCCCTGCCCTTAAAGAGCTCACATTACCTAGGGGCAGGCAGCTAGCCAATAAACAAATACCAACGCCATAATAGTCTGTGGGCTGGGAGAAGTGCCAGGGAGAAAAAGAAAGCAGGGACGTGGATAGAAGATCCTGCAGGGTAGCAGCGAGGCTGTGCTTTTAAAAATGGGGGACAC